AATTAAAACTGAAACTAAACTATATAAAAACTAAATAAAAATGCGTTCACAAAATAAAAACTAAACTAAAACTAACAAAAATATGATTGAAACTAATAAAAACTAAACTGAATTTTATGGCAAATTTGAAAACGATATTAAAATAAAACGAATTTAAAAATTCAAAACTATAATAACCTTGGTACAGACACTTTCAACATACATTTATGTTCAAACAACTTGAAAAGTGAATTTTGCATCCGATGACCCCTTTAATACTGGCTTGTTTCCACATACCCCAAGTTAATGTTTTAGATTTTACAGAACATGTCAGATTTAACCCCAACTGTTGATTAATATTTAACAGAGGTTATGAGGTTCCAACTGCTGATTCCAAAATTGATTTTGGGCAAGTTACTTATGTCTTGCTCAATATTTACCAACCATTTTCATTCCCAGGCCTAAAATCATTCTCAAATCTGTATAAATCCAAAAGCAAAGTAATAATTTTAAATATGTCAAATTAAGGAACTCTTTAATTAGTCAGTGCGTAAATCTAAGGTAAGCAAGTAATTTTCTACTACTTTTCTTCCCATTGCAAATAAATGGGAAGCCTCTTAAATATTAACAGGTAACATTGTGAGAATATAGTTTACCTTATGTAATACCATTTTCACATGTATGATTTATCCTTCCCCATAATGTTGAAAGAAGATGATTCCATTTCATGATACTTGTATAATTTTGATTTATTAATCCTTTAAGATAATCCTTTAAATGTTTATCACCCCACAATTTTCCGAACTCTTCTATAAGAATGACTACTGTTTTTAACAACCCATTAGAACAAATATGAAGAATAATATTATCAGCAAGTGTTGCTAAGATCTTTAGGGTGATATTACACTTCAACAGCAAACCTACACCGTGTGTGTGTATACCTACACTGTGTGTGTGGAGCACTGGCTGCTGTCAGACTCCTTGTGCAGACAAAAATCTCACTGGATTACTACAATTAATGGCAAAAGAAATGTTTGGAAATGTAAAATGATATTGACACACTACACAGCAAAAGATAGAAATGACTGACTTAAAACATTTTTTTTTTTGTCAAAATACTAATGGCCTAAGACTTTTGCACAGTATTATGTACGTGCAATTGGCCTCAAGAGTTAACACAGGCGGCTTTAAACCCTTAAACATACGGGGCCTATATACTCAAAGTAGCTAACGCTCAAAAATATCATAGTTTCTAAGTTATTGTTAGAACTGAAAAGCAATTTTGCGTAGTAATTGATTATAACGGTCGTGGTTAATACCAAATTGCTCATTTTATTACAGTAACTATAACTGTAGCAACTATAACATTTTGGCAGATGTTGATGATGTTTTAAAGGGTTTCGGTAGCAAACGAATCGAACCTCAACATAAACACTTACCTCTCACTTTATTCAGCTGTTTTACAGCGGCCCAAAGCGTTTCTTCGTTATTACTTAATTCTCGTTTTTTTCGTCCGCAACACCAAACGACGTTGATAAAAATAAACCGCTGATTATTTAAGGCGACAAAATATTCTGAAATGTTTCTAGTCTTCTCTGCTCCCCCGGTGTCCGCTGGCTGAACGTTTTCCAACGGCAAAACGGAAACGGATGTTTCTGGTGAAAGTTTCCGCCGGAAAGCCATCATAGACAATAAATACCTAGACGCCTCATTGGCCGCTTTGAGCCGTTGCTGCAATACGTCAACGCATCGCGGCCTCACACTCCATCCCAGTAGGTGGCGGAAATGCACCTTAAGCTGGTTTGCCAACCGCCATTAAACACAAAAGAAAAAGAAGAAGAAGATACGTCAACGCGTCCGCCATGTTTGTGAGGGCAAGACTGCCTTGAAAATAAATGGAGGTAAACGGGGAGCTGCGGTTTTTTTCTGGATAAAAACACGATAACGTTTACATTTACATGTAATTTGAATGTACATTAAATGAAATTAAGTAGTTTCATTGCTTTCTCTGTCTTCAACCTCAACATTTTAGCTTTTCTTGTGCTTCAGGTCAGAACACAGCTTATTCCCTTATTCCAGCTTATTATAATTGAGAAAATTGAATAAAACCAGCGAATACAAATCAAAAAGTGACACTTTGGTAGTCTGCTTTTTATTTTGATAGCACTCTATATAGAAACTCCACAACAAACAATAACAAATGCAACTGATAATCCTTTATGGATCCAGTAAAACTTACAGTTACAGTGGTAAAATATTATGCACTGATACAGTGCACAGTAAAAATATAGTAAATGTTAAATGTAATATTAAAAAGTATATGTAGTACAAGTTGTAGTAATAATATAAAAAGCGAGTACAACAGTATATAATAGATTTACAATAGCACAAATTATATGTATAATATCATAATAAATAAATAACAATAGATGAATAATAGCAAGTAGAATATGTAATATCAAGGGTGGAATAATACAGAATAGACAATAATGAAGAATAAATTAATAGTAAA